TATATATATATATATATATATATATATATATATATATATATATATATATATATATATATATATGCTAGAGTTTGCAGCCGTGAACCCCTTTGCGGTCGTGAACCTCGTTCATGGTCGTGAACCCCGTTCACGGTCCGAGGGTTTGCGACTCGGATGAAGAATAATGTGAGGTGTTCTCGGTTCCCAGTGTTTCACTTCTTAAACAAACAACAATTTTGGTACAAGGTTTATACACTCAAAACCCATTAATCTATCCATACAAGATAATAAAAGAAATGAGTTTGACCTTTACAGGATATGTTTGACTTTTATAAGACCGAAATTAAGGGTGGTCACAATCAAAAACCCATAATGAACTATTTACACTAGGCTGAAAAGCCTATGTACATGTCTGGTTTACCTTGGGACGCACGTGTCTCCCCAAAGTCTGCCATATATCCTAATAACATGCCATGTGTACTCTTGCGACGACATGTGTCCTGTGACTCGGCTTTTACCGACGTGTTGTGTTTATCATATTCACATCGCGTATCATAACTGTGCATTGTGTCATTAGCCCACACGCCATGTTTCCTTTAACTTTGTTGACTTTTCCCAAATAACAACGTACTCCTAATTCTTCATTCTAGTATCCATAAACACTGTTTGACTTTAATTTCTTAATAAGGAATTGGCAAATTTTCGGTTTGTTACATAATCAACAAAAAAAAAATGTGACAACATAACCTCCACATTTGGCACACGAGTTGGTCTAAATAACTCGTGAGCCACAACCTCCTTCATTGCAACACATAGTCATTCCGTAACGATAATAAAAAGCAACAAGGAAAGTGGTTACCTATATGAATACCTCCTTTGAAGAGAAATTTAACATTAGGAGACCCATTCACTAGAACTTATTTCGTCATATCAGAAGATAAGAAAGCCTAAATATGACGTCTCTATTTAACACCCAAACTAGTGGTTTCAAGCATTTCATCTAGAAATCCTTAATGAAGTGAATCCTACACCTTTGCCAAATCTATCTTTAAATATCACGAAAAACCTTATACCACCCAATTATCTCGTTTACAACCAAAGGGTCGTCTCACATTTGTTGGTTTTTAACAAACACTGATTACTTAATACTAATAACTTCGCCAAGCACACCGCCAATAATTTCGTGATTTTCTTGTATAGAACTCAATTAAACTAATCATGCGATAAATTTAAGGGAACAAGAATTTTAGGAATCGAAAGTATAAAGGAAGAACTACCACCTCAAGAAAAGCCAATGATTCCTGAATTCCTTAACAAAAGCAACCATGTCCAACTCAAGATATCCCAAAAAACGTTTAAGTAACTCAAACGAAAACCCATATGGCCTAGTTGACTTATCTTCACCATAACTCAAAACAACTTGCTTGATCTCCACGGTTGAAAACGGAGTAAAAAGAAAGTCCCTACTAATGTCAAAAAATCGATTGAAAGCATTCATAGTCATTTGCGGCTTAATGAAAATCGAACCTTGAAACTTAGAAGCAAAATATTCTAAAATTCATATACGTCACATCCATTGGATTACAAATCCAATCCCCATTAACCATAACTCCTCAAAATCTCAAATCGCTAATTGTCTTTGTTTTCGATTTAACTAAACCATGAAAAAAATCTTGAACTCTCATCACTTTCGTTTGTCCACTATATCTTAGCCTTCCAAACTAAGTCCATCTTTTCCACTCGTAAAATATCCTCAAGTTCCTTAAAATATTCCAGTCTATTTTCAATCTTCAAACGAGTCGCTACCCCACCATTACTTCAACATCTCTCATCAATTTTGTTCTGAAGAATACTCTTACACATTGTGGAATCTTTACAAGTATCAGTTCTACAAGTCTTGAGACAACTTTTGAGAGACTTTATTTTTTCTTTAAAGGAAACCATTCTATTAGAATGAGATCTATCATCAATTTTGTTTTATGCTTTGTTTATTTCTTAATAAATAAACTAACTAGTTGCAACAAAACTGAAGTCTCAAAAACTACAAATGATAACAACAACAACAACAAACATTGGCATTCAATTGTAAAATCTGTCACCCCTTGAAAAATATATATAAAATCAGTCAAAAGAAAACATTGCAATATATTAAACTATCATAATTTCTTATAAATCAAATTGGAATTTTGATTCCAATTATTGATGGTGTTGGTGTATGGGTACAAATTTTGGTTCTATTTGCTTTAATACCTGGTGGACCACAACATCTTTAATCTTTTTTTTTTTTGCAAAAAAAATGTCAAAATAAGACCACAAAAATCACTTCAGTTCTCTTCAAAAAGTAGATGATGGTATAGTCAAATATCTGAATCCATGTTCTGAAATGGTCCAGATGCTTCAGACATTACTTTAGCAGTTAGGTAGTTACTAAGCAGCAAAAACTGAATAATTTGTAACAGATTTTTGACTTTTTGTATAAAATGCTTCAACAAGAATGCCAAAAAGACATATCAAGATTTCAGATTATCATAAACAGCAAAATCACATTCAATAATGATATAGTAATCATCTATGTAAAGACTACTCAGGCTATCAGCCAAATTCAACAACTTGAGAATTAAGAACATGAACCCTTACACTTGTAGATGAGAAATAACCAGAAAATTCGTAAATTTAAACTATAGGAGTAATAATAAGAATTAGGGTTCCTGTACAGACAACGACGACCAATTACCGTTGTTGGAAAGATCAGTCGGAATGGGAATCGGAGTACGAATCACGACGGCGGTGGTCGTAGCCGGAAAATCCAGCAACACCGACGGAGGAGCTGGTGACGGAATCGTAATCCGATTCATCACCATCGTCGTCGTCGTAATAGGCATAAGAGTAGTAATAAGAATCAGGAGGAGATGGAGGAACACAGAAAAAGTTCCAAACACAAAGAGCAAAACGACCTAATTGTTGAAGAGGAAAACAAATCACCAGATCTAAGAGCTCGTCGCTGTTGATTCGTTCGGTGAAGCATGCCACCGATTGCCAAACGTCGGCGGATACGGTGGCGACTGACGCTACTAAGACGGTGTTGAATACCATCACAGGATCTTGGTCGCCTGGGAATCAGAGTTCAAAAATTGGATTGGATTTTGGAATAGTTGCTTGCTTCCTGTTCTTTGTCCATAACTGCTCGCTTTCTTGTTTGGGATATTAAAATATACTGCTACTTGCCTAAAACGCAACTGTGATTATTGGAGGTTTCCTATTAAAACGGAACCAAAAGTTATATGTATTTTTTTATGGAAAATAATCCAAAATTTGATGGAATGCTCCTTAAAATTTTAATTGTATTTAGTAAGCAAATTAATTTTCTATTTTATTTTAAAAATACCAACTATTAAGAGTTTTATTTGTTAGAAAGCACAAACACTATCATTGTCTTTGTCATGTTAAACTAATATCATATTGGTCGATTTTTCTCAAAACACAACTTCAACTACATAGATTTTGCCTGATTAAGACGACGATGACACAAAACAATATGACATTGTTAATGGTTATCAGTTGCAGTTTCAGAAAAATAATTACATGAGATTTTTAGTTAGATGTGTTAAGGGTAGTGATGATGTCCGTTGTCATTTTAATCGAGAAAAATCGTAATTGTTGGCATTTTAAAACCAAAATAAAAAGTTAGTTTTTCTATTTGATACAATTAAAAGTTTAGTGACCTAAAGAACAAATTTTTTTGTTTTATTTACAAAATATAATGTTTTCGACTAAACGCTTTTGATAGTTGTTAATTGAGTCAGATCCAAACATGATTAAGTTAAACCTCATCGACTAAGAGGCATGTAAGAGGCTATTTAACCGAATCTAAGGTAAAAATTGTGATATCAGTCATTCTCTGACCGAGCCAAACGTAGCCTCTTACCATACCTAGTAAGAGACTATAAATATATGTAGAGCCTATGATTATTTATCCAAAAAAGCCCTTGTTGAGAAGGAGGGGACTCCAAAACACACACACACACACACACACACACACACATATATATATATATATATATATATATATATATATATA